GAGCCGTCTGCCGCGTGTCCGCGGCGCGTCCAACGCCGCACCACGGTAACGCGACTCCGGCCTGTCATTGCACAATGGATAACGTGAGGCGGGACGAAGAGCGAGGGCAGATGGCAGGGACGTGGCAGTGGGGGAGAGTCAAAGGGGTACACTTTTAAAGTTCATCGTCAAATGACTTCACTTTGTGTGATTATATTTGTCATTTAGACAAATTTTCAAAATTTTAAAATTTACTTTGAATAATGTACTAGATTTTTATCCGGCGTAACAAAGATTTGCAGCCTACAGAACTGCGTCTCTCCTTGATAACTTGCTACACGTTCTGGAATACATCTTGAACTTATATTTTTAGGGCACGCCATGAACAGGGCACTTCACTGAATCAACAGGAGACGATACATAGAAGTGACAAAACGAAACTAAAACCAGCAGATCTAATCCAAGTTCCAACATTGGTTTAAAATAACCGTTCTTGGAATGAATTATTACCAATTTCGTGTGTTAAAGATTGTGTTATTTTAGTACTTTCTTATGGGTCACAAATATTTATGTAAGCACAGGTAACTCAACTCCACACGAAATACTAATGTGAAAAACTGTTTTCTGCTCCGCATTGTCACTTGCCATCTTCTCTCTGTCCGTTTCCTATTCAGCGAAATACCCGGAATTTTTGTCGGACCCATTGTGCAATTTTCAACAATTTCACTGCTATTTCGCAGGGAGTCATCACCCTGGTGAGGGCGAGTAGAGTCAAGGGAGGAAGGGGGGGGGGGGCGAGATCGTTTTGGTAGCCAGCCGGCCGCGGTAGCTGCGCATGCAGACACACTACTTGGCGCATTCCAGCAGTTGTTGCTTGGAGAAAGGCACGCGACGGAATTGACTCCCCCTCCCATCCCCCTACTCGCCGCCTGCCTCAAGCACGTCGCTTTAGAGGGTGAAAACGCGCGCGCACACTTCTTGGCCAATGGGTCACTGGGGCGGCGCGGGTGAAGGAGGAGGGAAGAGTGGGAGGGGCACGGATGAGAGTGGTTTGGGCCGGGAGGTGATAGGGGATCGCCCCGGGGCAGCCGCGGGACCGGCGGGGACCGGGGCAAACCCCTTCAGTAAGTTTCGATGTGTACGTTAGAGAGGGCTTCAAGGACCTAACTGAGCGAGCGATACAGCCCCCCCCCCCCCACCCCAGACTTTGGGTCGCGTTCACTGTGTGTATGTGTGCGAGGGGGAGACAGCAAGAGAGAGCGAGAGAGAGAGCGAGAAAGGCGAGAGAGAGAGAGAGGGAGGAG